GCTCTGTTGTTCACCAAGAAAATATGGCTAGAAAATTGTAAGTTTAAACGTTATATATGAATATGATTACTTTTGTTTCAATGATTGATAATGGTAATGGTATAGGTAGGCCTATCACTTTTATTTTTGTTTGCTTTCATAGAGTAAAAATAACGTAAAGCTTCGATCAATATCCATATCTAAACTTCGCGAACGCCCACACAGGCCTAGGCCTAATTAATATAGTGTAGGCCTATATAAAGGCCTAGCCTAGGCCTAGTAGTATAGGCCTAAGCCTAGGCCTAGGCCTGTGTGGGCGTTCGCGAAGTTTAGATATGGATATTGATCGAAGCTTTACGTTATTTTTACTCTATGAAAGCAAACAAAAATAAAAGTGATAGGCCTACCTATACCATTACCATTATCAATCATTGAAACAAAAGTAATCATATTCATATATCACGTTTAAACTTACAATTTTCTAGCCATATTTTCTTGGTGAACAACAGAGCCCAACATTCAAGCTCGCGATTATCTTGAAAACGAATCTAGTGTTGACCTGGTGTTGACATGATCGACAGCCAATTGATAGATGTGTATAAGAGACAGGGTTTATACTGTGTAGGCCTAGGCCTAACGTCCTCTACGAATGAACTCGACGAAACCCAAGCATTATAAATATAATTACGCATGCGCATATGCCTGGCAATAACGTCATACCGTTCCAAGTAACTCGTCGTCGCAGATCTAAAACTCGCTATTGTGTAGGCAAGGGAACTATATTTGGTGTTTAATGAAGCAATTAACATGTTTACCTGGGTGGGCTAGAATAAGATGCCTGCGATATGATCGTGGCAATGGTCGTTATTGGCTATCCATGGCCAGTGTGGTGTTGTGTCACTTGTTTGTGGTGTTGTGTGGTGTTACAAACCGAAGCCTAACCTAGGCGAGGGCCTAAGCTAGGCCTAGGCCAGGTAGGTTAGGCCTAGTTGACAGGTAAACTATAGGCTATAGCTTGTACTTTTGGAATATGGATCAAGTCCCTGAGTATTAAGTATTAATGATGTAATACTTTACTCGCATTTCAATGAAAATCATGTTATCTTGTTTTTGTTTTCCATCGATTGTCGGCAGTTTCCCTGTCGAGAAAGATTCACATGTTTTTTTGTTGACCCACACCCACACATGACAGCAGACCTGGATCGACACGATATGTGACGGTCCAGTATATTACTACGCGTGCGATATAATTGACTGGATTGTATTGCGGAGATAATTGTAAATAATTGAAAATTATAGAGATACAAAATAATAACAACATATAAATATTGAGAAAGACATATATGGCTCATATCTGTGAGAAAACACTGAAAGAGGCATGAATATCTGGAGCTACTTTGTTTATGTGTATGCATCCTTCTGAAATGACATTGTGAAAAAGTGCCAGCCGGGATTTAAATCAGTTTTTTTTTATTAATTATTAATAAATGACGCAATTTTGGGAAACACCACATAGACTATTACCTGCCCAGTACCAATCTGAACATCCGAGTGAAAATTTGGTTGAAATTCCTTTTATATATATAGATTAACTAGCAGCTAGCGCTAACACTGCATGCCAAGTGTTTTACAGATGACATTTCTATGGTAACACTATGAACAAGGTAAATAATTTTTAGTGCATCATCTAAAGTATAAATTTAAAAAGGTATGTTTATTGTTATTTGGTGGCCATTTTGAAAAAGTGCTATCTTTTTTTAACTCATGGCACATCATATTAAGTGCAATTTAATGCAATCATACTTTATTATTATCAATACTAATCAGAAATCAAGTTAATTAACCTTTAAGTGACCTTTTTTGTACACAAAATTCTGAGATTTTAGCAGCTATTTTGAAAAAGCGCCCTCACAGGTTTGCCCACCATATCGAACTTGCAGACAAGCAGATTTTGCAGACAAGCAGATTTCACTACCTCTATAGTTAAAGTTTCCAAAAATATTTGTCTCAAAAAATCCCCCAAGGGGGGAGGGATTTGATTTTTGACCCATAGACCTGTCAGGGATATTGGTCGTAGGTCATTCTCGATTGATCTTGGAGGATTTACTTTGGCGATAGGTATAATATTCGCAGATTTCTACTCAGTAGGTATGAATGATTCTCATAGAGAGGAATTGGCAATTGCGCTCAATGGATCAGATATAATGTCAGCAAAATCACGTAAAATCCAAGAAGGGGATACCATCCAGTCCAGGGGCTTTGTTTACCTAATAACAGATCTCAGCTTCGATTCAATATCAGTCTTGGAGATTTTGAGACAATCTGGGACAATCTGTGGTCCAATATTAGGAGGTGACGACTCCAGAGGTTTAAATTTCTGGGTAATAGATTAAAAAAATATACTAATAAGATTTGCAAGAATAAGTTTGTCTCCATCACATAGCTTTATAGCCAAGTTGTTTAGAGCGTTAGGTTTGCTGTTACGTTGGTTGATAAGCAGATTAACTTTCAGCCACCAAGAGTGGATGTCGCTTTCAAACAGCTGGTTGATCTTAACATTTATATTGTTCTTATATAATGTTGGTGGCAATAAAATATCAGAATAAAAAACTTGCAATATAATTGCATTGTCATAACACATTATGAATATCATAATGTTAATGAACATGCTTTATATTTGTGTTTCTTTAGGTGAAAGACCATTCCCATGTACCTGGACAGATTGCAACAAACGCTTTGCAAGATCAGATGAACTCGCCCGTCACTACCGTACCCATACCGGTGAGAAGAAGTTTGTATGTCCACTGTGTGAGAAACGATTCATGCGTAGCGATCATCTCATGAAACATGCCCGTCGGCATCCAGATTTTGAGCCGTCAATGATTCAGCGCCAGAGAGATACTCGTCAATAAAATAGCATAGAGTTGTATTGTAAAATAAATTTCAAATGGATGCAGTAGCAGACAAATTTCAGTGTTATTTATACCAGTTGCAAATGGTAAAATTACATTTGATCAAGATCAAAATAAGACTATCTTGCCAGCAATAGTCTTCTTTTCTGTTTTCCAAAAAATACTAGTTAGAAAATATTCAGACCAATCAGAGCTTAGTAATTTCCTTCTCTACACAAAAATTTAAAAAAAATCACAGCTGTGAAGCTTTCTGTACACTCTAGTTTTCCGTAACAAATATACCCATACTGTATGGTATGTTGCAATTCATAAAAACCATGGCAACTCACAGATATTTTTTATATAAAACTTGATAGGGTTGGCATATCTTTTAAAAATCAAAGGTGGTGCAAAGTCCTCTCATGCACTTTATTTATTTATTTTTTTTTTGTAAAGAAGGAAAATACATTGCTCTAATTGGTCAGTATAATTTCCCCTTAGTACTTTGAAAATGAAAACTAAAGTCCCATGTATTTTGGGTTTTAAAATAATAACCACTGGGCTAAGTATGAAATTCACCTTTTCAAACATACATCGTACAAGTATTTTGGGTTCCTCAGAAATGCAAAAATATAATACATCTTTTTAGGTTGGTTGAGCTTGGGAAACCCAGATTACTGATTGGTTTTAAGAAGATTTTTAAAGAACAAGTTTCAAATGCTGCCATATTTTAAGTAGCTTGAGGTAATATAATATTTATGATGGGTTGAGATGGTAACGCACTGTGTCAGCACTGTGTCAAACTACTGTTGGCGGAGAGATTCGTCTGTTAGTTTGTATGGATATTGAACTGAACTCTAGGCATTTACTCCAATTTACTAACTTATGCATTTTTCTATCTTTAGGCCTTTAATAATTTTAATATTAAATTATATTCTGTATAGTAAAATCTTCAGTTTAAGATATTTTATGGAATAGTTAGATTAAACTAAGTTGTATCTTTTAACTTAATTCTTAAACTGAAGTATTATGAGTCATTCCTTAGTCCTATAAGGTAACCTGTAGCTAATATTTATCAATACATATGAACATTATTCATTGCAATTTGTATAACTAATTACGTGTGTAGATTGTTCTAAATATTTTGCTCAAAAAAAAACCATACCTGGCTTTGTGGTTAAAGTTGTTTATATTGTGCTGAATGATGATGATCTAGTCTGCTAGATGTTCATTTTGTAATGCATGTACTGTATTTATGAAGCATGCCCTCTATTTCAAGTAGGTTCAGAAAAGTGTCAAGCTTAATAGTAGATTTCCTGTTTTGAGGCACATAGCAATTATTAATTAAGAAATCTATGAATGTAGGCCAACAGGAGGTTTGTTACTCTATATCAAACTCCTCCCCAGTCCCAACCCATAGGGCATTATGTGGAATTGCAGTATATATTAAAGGGAGCAGTGCCTGCTAAAATAATTGCAATGTTTGTTTTTTTAATGGAATATGTAATTTTTGGCAGCCCTCTGTGTGCTCTGCTGTGCATGCTCTGTGTACACTCCCATTGCCCCACTCCCATGTTAATAACCTAGAGGGTCATGTTAATTTTTTTTAATGAATGTTTAATGTTTCAATGTTAATCTTTAGTATGCTGTCACAATGGTTCTAACAATGTGATGGTTTCTGTACATTTTGACCATAATGATAAGGATAAATTTAACATTATAATGATATTTACAGAAAGAAAAAGCTGTAAATATACTAGTAGTGCCAACAAAAACAAGGTAAACTAGACAAAGAAATAACCTGCAGTGCATCGTCCTGATGTTGTGTATAAAATTACTTGATAATGACATCACAAACATAACATTAACAAATGGTAAAGTAGATTATATTGATAAGTAGATAAAACATGGTTGATATGAATTAATGAAATGAACGGAATAGAATGGTATGGAAGGGTAATTTTTAAACAGATGGAAGGTATAGTTGATTCAAAAACATGAAATATGTAGAAATGTATGCAGCTGATATGAAAAAAAAACAGCTAATGTACTGTATGTATGGTAAAGATGGGTGCTAAACTCATGTATTTTAGACAAATAAAAGTGCATTTTGTGCAATTGAATGGTGAAGAAAGGTATTGAACCTTGCTATATAATCTGCAGGTCAGGTTATATAATCATGGTGCCAAAAGAAAGGGTATTGTCTTATTTTTTTGCTAAATGCTGTAAAATAATGTATGCCATAGATGAAAGGTACGGATTGGTAGTACATTACCTGGCTTTGATTTTGTTTATAGTTTTCATGTATAATATAACCCTATATATAATCTAGTTTTATAGTAAGTATATATTCTGTATATATATTTTGATTGTGAAAATCTATTGTTTTTGTTTTGTTTTTTTTCAAAAATCTTGTTTCTGTGATGGAATGTAAAGAAAAGCAAGGTAAAGGTACTTAAAATGAATTTATCCTAACAGCTTCATAGCTATAGATGTTTTAATTTTGTTAGTATACAGTAATTTATTTATTAATACAATATTTGAAGATAATGCCACTAACATAAATAAGATAACTTTTCAAGAAACTGCAGTAGTAGATTTATTTTCTTAAGTCCTTTTTTTCACTTCGTCTTCAAGTTCATAGAGTTGGAGAAAGAATGTTTCTTTGAGACGGGTATGATTATGGTATCAAGAGAGTTGAAATGATATCTCATTTGTATGACAATTATTTGAAACAGAAATAAAAGACCATTTACATTTTTACAAACAAAAATGTGTACACTTATCATACTATAGTGTAATGGCTGAGAAACTAGACTTGAAAATTATCCACAAATCTTGTGGCATAAAATGAATGGAATCAACCATCGTTGCTACAGTACTAGACAATGAAGCATGTTGGTGATGAGGACAGTGATGGCGATGTGATGTTGGCTGAGGCGTAATGCCTATGGGCGGGGAGCGATGCCCCAGGTCCCCAATCCAATGGGCCCTCCTACAAATAGACCGCACTCTAACAGAGCCTTGACATTATGGTCCAGTAGAAGACATCCAAAACTAGCAAATTAAAACCATGTAATGCCACGTTTTAAACTCACGAATGTCTTGTGGACTCATACTTTTACTCTTTTCTTTGCTCATTAAAATCATCACAAAAAACACTAGAAAACAGATTCAAAAGGACGGTATCCACGGACTGGAGGTCCAAACAACCGCCCTGAATGAAAAATATCAAATTGCATCAAAAATAAACATTTACTCTTCATCTATAAACTGTTTAAAATTTTTGACATAATAAACATTTAGAAAAATAATATATACATTATATATTTTTTTTTTAAATATATGCCATCAAAAATTTAAAATCAATTGTATTCAATGTCAAGTCATGACCCTCAAAATGTTCCACAGCCGAGCTCACTACAAACTGATAGGCCTATTTAAATATCCGAAATAATGAGACTGTGGGACAGTGGCGTAGGGATGGGCTGTGCAGACCGTGTAAAGCACTGAGGCCACAGGGGGCGGAAAATATATGTCTATGGAGATGTTTGTATGATCGGAAAGAAATGCAAGAAAAGAAAGATGGAGCTACATTTTCTGGCAATTCTCATTGACGGATCTGGACCCCTGATCCCCCCCCCCCCTTTGGTAGAAAACAAATTTTAAAAGAGAATTCTAGACCTACCTTTTCAGGACCAGTGAGCTGATTTTTGTTGTTACAGTTGGAAGTCTGGAAAGCTCATTTCCCGCCATCAGGAATTAAAAACTTTTCTCGGGGGAGGATCCCCGACCCCCTTTGATTTCTAGGGTTCATCGATTCATGGAAAAAAGAATACGTATGCAACGTATGTATACCAGTTCACACATAATAGGCCTATGAGAAAAATTTACCTGACCGTTTTCAAGGGGGAAAAGCAACCAAATGTCAGAATTAACACGGTCAGATTAAACCATGGAATTCAACAAATCATGAAAGTAAAATTGAAAAGCTGATTTAGGTAATTATTTTCTTTAATAAGTATGTTAATCAAATCATATTGTTGATACCAGACACTACAGTCCTGCGATATTAGAACCTCTATTATCTGGACACCTTCGGGACTCCTCAAGGAAAAGTGTGCCCTTATTCAAGGAACACAAACCAAAGCGTGAAATTGTACCCTTAGTAGGGGTTTTGGTATAATGTTTTTAAAATTACAAAATTTTATTTTTATTGACCTAAAAATGATTTACAGTAGAACTAATTTATATAAATAATTTTCAATGCAAAATTCATTTACCGGTAAATATGAAATCAACAGTAATGTAATTAAAACTACAATATATTTATATTATGTTCCCATATTTCGTGATGCAAATTTAATGACCAAATATTTGTTTTCAATATATTCAGCTTTCTATTGGATGCATGTAGAGTAACGACTCAACAATTAGGGTGCATGTTATGATAAAGATTGGAATCATAAAAAGAAATTCCAATGGTTAGGTGTAAAATTTGACAAGATTGGCCTATACCGATGTTCAGAATAAAGATTCATGGGAAACCATTCTGGTTTGATGAGATTTTTTTGCTCAAAATGTGTAAAAATATAAGTTGAAGTTTTTTTTTATTTTGAGACTCCTACTTTTTGCGATACTGTACATTGAAAAAAATTAAGTGTTCTTTTAATAGGGGTTGAATAATATGTATTGATTTGACCACCCAGAGAGTATTCCCGTCCCATGGGATGTCCGCTTAATAGGGGTTGGCTATAGTGTTAACGATATAATTCTCCTCATTTCACGAAACATTGTCCCCTGAATAGGGGTCCCATCCCAAGAATAGGGGTGCCCCAAAGTAGGGTTCTACTGTATTAGGGTATATTTTGTATCTTGGATGGCATTTCTATGATATTATCTGGAGGCCTTGGGTCGTGGGAAGCTATGGCAAAACGTTCTGGGTTAAGGAGTAAAAGTTTGCCAACTGTGTAGTGACCTGCAAAATTTGTTCTTCAGGTGTTTATGAAATAACCAAAATAGATAATAGGATGCAATTAGACTGAAATGACAATACGAAACAGATGTTAAACAAGGAACTGAATTTAAAAGTTACCACATGCGTTTGAACAGATATTGAATTGAATAGAGTTGTCTATATTAATCGTATCCAGTACTTTTATGTATTCTGACTAGCGTTATTAGCACTTTATAACTATTTAATATTTCACTATTATTTAACTATTATTAACGGAAAATATAATGAGACGCAAAACACTGTATCACCGAGAATACGGTAACATTAAACAGGTGCTCAGGCTCCCTGCAAATGATTACAAAAATGAGCTATAATAATTATAAAAGAGCCTATTTCGATGTTCAGGAGGTAAGGCTTGAATCACTATTGTAATGTACATAACATACTATTTCCACATTGTGGATTATCAAAACTAGTGCCAGTACATTAGGCCCCATACAAAATTATTAGTTTATCACCCCCTCCCTCATCATTTTTGGGGAAATTCTGATTTTTTTTTAAATTTTTTTTTTGTCAATCAACATAGGGGCCTATATTTTTTTATTTCAAACGGTTGTTTTTCCATCTTTTTTCACTTGAAAAGCTCAGGATTTCTTGCAAATATGTTTATTGGTACAACAAAAACATATTTTTTAAATATAATTTGATTACATTCTTATAACTTTTTATATCCCTAACCATTGATTTACTTGTGAACATCGGTAAA